TGAATTCTGAAAATCAAGAAAACAATGCGGTACCCGGTATGAGGATTATTGTTAACTTTGTCTTAGTATATAAAGTTGTAAAGTAAACCTATTATAAGTAAGTAATAAAGTTAAACCAAATAACAGTAAACATCAAAAACTAATATACAGTATTAGAAAAGAAGAAATATATAGCTAAGTGTGTGGAAACCCAAAAGTATTTTGACAAGTATGCTTCAGGACAAAAGTCACTCAGTATCCCAGATCGACCTGTCCAGTACGCGTCACTCACTTCCTGAGGCTGCCTCTATTTCACACTGTCAGTTTATCTGTGAGCATCAGCCGAGGTAGACATAAGCTGGTATGTATGTGTACTGCCCTGTGCAGTATATAGTTAGTATGTATTTACCCACTGTTACTGTGAATTTGTAGCTATTATTAATTTTATATATAATGTATGTGTGGTTCTTAGGTTTTCAATGGTTTTGCTAGGATTAGCAGAGTATGCGAGGCTGTATACGTTCACGTTTAGCCATATATATCAATAATAACAACATTTTGTGAAAGGGGTAACATGCTTTATGTGGCATGTTAAATTGGGTAACAAGCTGAAAAAGTTTGGGAACCACTGTCCTAGGGTGAAGATTTTATTTAGATTATTAATCCAGAGGGGTTAGCAAATCATGATAACCAAGAAAGTAGTTATGCTTAATTCAAATGGGTTGTAAATTTAAAGAACTTTCATCTACCAGATACACAGCCTCTTCTCACTTAGTGATGTAGTCGTTTACTGATGCCTCGGACTCACGACAGGCTCTTTGACCAGTATTTATACCTAAATAATGTATATTTGAGCTGATTTCCTCTATTCTGTTATTTCAATATACATTACACTACTGTACAAACATTTAAAAATATACTAGAAATATTATAAATGGTGCAAAGGTGATATTAAAACAATATCAAAGATGGTTGACACAAACCTATTATTATAGTATACACTACTCACTTAGCGATGAATTCATTTAACAACGTGGTCTTAGGAAAGGAACTCCATTAAGTGAGGAGAGGCTGTATTCACTTTATGTAACATATTATACAAATATGACTACCAATAACTTACAATAAATGGACAGTACTTATATGATACAGACTTGCATAAAAACATGAAGTTGCCTATGTAGAAATTATAAAGTTATATATAATTTTTAATTTTGCATAAAACTAACCTTATGACCTAACCTAAACTCATCAAAATGAAAGTATTAATGTAGTATATATACAGCTTTATTTATTTAACCTATTTAAGAATTTGCATAATTTAAACTTTTTCATAGAGGAAAAAGGGGGAACTTTTCAAACCTGTAATGTGTGCTGTAATATTAGCTACCTAAACTTAAGTCTATTAACTGAACATGAATTTGTTGGGTTATCCTAGTTTAAATCTACAGTACACAATTTTTTACTAGTGTATTCCTACATCTACGGGTCTTCAGAATCAACATACAAATTCATACTGATGTAGCTTTTCAGAATAAAGCTGTCAAGAATAATTCAAACCCCTTTTTTAAAGATTAAAGCAACTTCAGTGTATATAGAGTACACAGATAAAACACCTCTCAGTTATGTATAGTACTGCAATGCCTGTGTTTGACTATGACCCAAATACAGTGGACCATATGCACGCAATTAACCAGTCAACTAACTGACCTTTGTTGGTCACAGAACTATGGACAAATTAATACCCTAGCCTTTCTTCTTTTAAGGTATACCTTTGATGCATGTTGAGAGTTTTCCCATTTCCAGACCTTGGGTGTAGGAAAACCATAATTTTCTTGTTTAAGATACAAGATACAAGATTTTGAGGTCTACTCTATCAAAAGTTTTCTACAGGTCTATGAAGAGGGCCTGAGAATATTCATTTTCAAGAGTTGCACAAGGCAGTTCAAGCATTTTTATAATTTCATCATTTATACTTTTTGGGCCTAAAACTAAATTGGCAGGAGTGGAGTATATTGCGAGGAGTAAACTTGCTTATGAATTATGCTTTCAAAGATTTTAGAAAGCAATGGTAAGCTGGATATTGGCCAATACAGTTATTTACCTCAGATTGCCTCCTTTGTGTATTGGGGTAACCTTTGCTATCTTAACCATCGTCAGGAACGTTCTGGTTTCAAACTTCCAATAGTGGGCAACAGCACACGCGCTGCTTTTCATACGTTAGTGGCAGTAAATTAAGTTTTCTGTCTTGTGTTTCCGTGAATTTATTATAATTGTGACCTCAGAAGGATCAGTGGGAGCTAGATAAAAGTTTGGTAAACTTTCAGTAAGGCAGTCATTTGCCTGAGCATTTCAAGCTGGGATTTTGCTAGCTAGTCTTGATCCGATAGTAGAAAAGATATCATTTAGTAAGTTGGCTCTTTCAGCAGGATGGATGTTAGGTTTATCTGATTTAATCAAGACTATATCTCTTGTTTCAACCAGTTTTCAAGAGCCTAGGGAATTTCAGAAAGGGTTTTCTGGACTTTCATATCCCAATTTATTTCATTAAACCTGCTTGCACAATAAAGTTGTTCAGACTTCCTTATTAGATTAGTAAATACTAACATATATTCTTTAGTCTGTTCCTGAGTTATTAAGCCCAATATGAACTGTTTTTCATTATGTTTTTATCAGTTATGTTTTTTATTCAACTGCGTTCCATTTTCCACTACTATGAAATGACTACGTGGAATGATCCATCCAAATTTGATGCTTTGTGTGAATAACAACAAATAATGATGCATGAAACTTCAGCATTTTCACAAAGGATCTTGCACTGCAGTAACTGTTTCTACCATTATTATTCTCTAGTCTTCACAAGTTACCTGAAGACATGAATGGTACACTTATCAAGATAACCCAGTGTAAAGTATATAATTAGATTTTATTCAGATTATTAACCCATGATAACTCAATAAAGACACTATGGGTGGGAACATTGGGCATGTTCCCTTATGTTTGTTGCCCGCTTACCTAGCAGCAAGTATGTACCCGAGTGTTAGTAGACTGCTGTGGATCGCATCCAGGGGGGACAAGATTAAAGGACCCCGATGGAAATAAGATAGTCCCCAGTGACATACTGACTGTACTGGGTTATCCTTGGATACAGCAAACTACCATTAGTGCAACCGAGTAATATATTACAGTAATTTGCAATTAAGAAGAAGTATGTAGCCAAATCATATATCCAATGCATCAAGGGTTATTCAAAACCCCCTGTAGTCTACCTCATAAATGAAATTACTGTATATAGATTGTTACTTAGGATAACACGTCAAACCATTTTGTCACAATAAGAACAGGAACATAATAGATGACCTCTGGCAGTAGGCCTACTGGTCCATTCCAGGCAGCTCCTATTCAACCACCCATTCATTCATTCATCTATTTGTCTAACCTATTTTCAAAACAACTGCTCAATGGTTTGTGCCATTCATTCACAACTCTGTCAAACCAGCACTTTCCTATATCATTTCCAAACAAAAATTTAAACAACTTTATTCCATTACTGACTTATTTTGGTTAGAATTCTTCAGATTATTTTGCTCTATTAATTACAATATTCTTATTGTATAATCATATCTCCTCTTATTTCTGTAAAAGTATGTGTAAGTTCAGGAAAACTTTCTAAAACAGAATTAATTTTCCCCATTATGTTTTCCACTAGTTACTGTGTATGTATTATTGTAAGAGACCACAACTCAAGCTGCATAAACCAACTTTTGTGAATTATAATTAACAGCTCTAGTTTTTGGCAAACAACAGTGTCATTATGCAATTTTCAGGCTAGGTAACAATCGACTGTAGGTTGGTAAACATCAACCATCCAGAGATATTATCTTGTCTTATGAGTAAGACAAATATTAAATATTTTACTCAGGAAAGATTTCTGGCTTATGAACATGTATGATGCCAGGTAAATCTTACAAGCTTCCACTTACAGAGCATATACTTATCTTTACTTTCCCGAATGTTTTTATTTCAGTAGTATTTCCTTTCCAATTAAGGAAACCTGATCTAAGATCAAAGGGGATGATGATCCCTGGACCCATTATTATATAATAATTATATAATAATTACCCCAGTAATGTGGAGAATCACTGCAAATTTAAAAATTCCAAAATGTGTGACGTGACAGATATGGCTACTTATTTGTAGAAATGTAAAATGAACCTTCCCAAAGCTAATTATGTAAATGCTTGTATTATGTTACATCTTCACATAATCAGCAGAATGTAAGTTATCTCACCGACATTCTTAAGTCATTGATCATACTCAGAATTTTTCCTACTGGCAATAAGTTTTATATACCATAAATGTAGTAAAAACTATCTGTAAGAACTTACATAACATAAACCTAAATTATGTTGTGGAACATAAGACACTTATGCAACAGTTCATCAGTTTTGTACTGTACCTTGCACTTTCACAAAATTATATATTTGGTCATACAAATCTGTATACAAACTTGCCACCTGGATAACTTGCTGATATCGCCGATTTGAAAAGTTGATGACTTTGCCCAACAGCAATCAGTAATACGCATTCAAGTGATAAATTATTTAACCAAAGGTGTCCCAACAAAGCCATTTAAGAGAGTAATTTCCATAACAGGTTCTTATAGGCTTAAATCAATGTTTGATCACTGGGTTATCCAAGGTATAGCGCATAATCCATTATGCAAGACAATTGTAAAATTTTAAAGTTTAATTAAACTTGAATAAAAACTTTGTCTACTCTTTTATACGTCACACAAAGTATTTATCTCCTTTGGTCACTACTATACAGTTTGTTACAGCTACTTCTCCAGAACTTTATTGCCAAACCAGATGTGTGATATAGCATATGGTTACAAACGGGTTTGCTAAATTGTTTTGTAATAAAGGATTTACCAGCATTTAGAACACAATTACCAGTGTACAAGATTCTTCAGGCATATTATATAATTGTAATGGTGGAAAAGTAAGGAAATTGCTTACCATGTTTTCTCTACGGATCTTATCATCTTCTCTCCTTCTGTTCACTGAAGAATTAGCAAGTTTGTGGACGGGCCGACTATTGTTAGAGGAACTTTGGTGTTTGCTACGGCTGTGGGCACTCATAATCTTCTGCAACAATATTTGATTTTCTCTGTCTATCCTCCGAACTTCATCATTAGTGAATGACATATTCTTCCTGCGATAATGGTGCATTGTTCTGCGTAGATGACGGTGATGGGGACTGGCATCAATGGGGTGAATGGTGATGGGAGATGATGGTTGGTGGAGGTAATTGTTTTGATGTAGACTGCAGTCATTGCTTCTATTATTGACTTGTCTGTGCTGCTTCTTCTCCAGTTCTACAACAGCCTTGAGCAATAAGGTCATGTCTGTGGAATCATCACTGTTGCTGTGACTGTAACCATTGCAGTGAGGCTGAGAGTCGTAGCCCTGGTCGTTGGAAGAGTTTTCTTGATGATAATCAAAACTCAAATCCCTGTTGTCGTGCAGTGCCAGTGGAGAGGTGCCCAGGGTACGTCTTGGCAGTACCGGAGATAGACCCAGGGGGCTTGCAGTGGCCGATATTAATGGTGAAACATCCGTAATATCACTCTCACTGTCACTATCCTCATAATCACTGCTATCACTGCTCTCGGTTTCCGAGGAGAGGTTAGAGTTCTCGCCATCCATATACACCAGAGTCCCCCGTTCTATGAGTCTATCCACCTGAGACTTGGGATCATCGTCGTCACTGCTGTCACTGTGGTCACCGTCAGTATCACTGAGGTCACTCTCCTCCCACTCGTCAGAGGTGTAGGGGTTGGGGTCTACGTGTTCCATGACTGCACTGGCGCCTTGCTCCTGTGCCTCTACAGAACTCGTACTACCAACCTTCCCTTTCGTGTTAGAACCACTACTGACACTTGCACCACTATCCTCGTCCCTCGACACCTCCTCAGAGCCCTGATGACCTTCCACGGGGCTCCTCCTCCTCCTCTGTTGCCTAGAAGAAGTGTCCTCCACACAACGGTACCGCGAGTCCACAAAACTCGCAGAGGAAGAACCGATCACAGAATTTAATGCTGATCCACTAACACCTTTACGGCCTTTAGTCCTTTCAACATCGTCATCTTCATAAAAACAAAAGTCCACTCCACCACAAATGTCAGGCTCGTACTGTGTGCCGTTCAGTCCTACTTTGTGAGCCATGCTGCCCCGTACACGGGTATTATATGAGTCCCTTGCTAGCCATCCGTCTGCCAACCTTCCCCCGACACTGGCCGTCCTGCTGCCATTGCTATCCCGGGTTTGGCCCAAACCCCTACACCTGACGTCACAACCTTTCTACCATACAACCAAACCAAGCTTTAAAAACCCACCCAACAAATTACTCTGACTGCCCCCTTTGACTAAAAAAGAAAACGGTAATATAATACGTCCCTTGATGCAATTTATCAAACAAACAAAAATCAAATTTTTTGAGTTTTGGCGGGTCCGCGGTGACGTCTTGTGGAGGGGGAGTCAGAGTGAATCAGTGAGAGCAACGACAAGGCCCCACGCAAGCCACATTTTCCTAAGAACATCGTGTGAGACGGTTTTCCTCAAATGGGGGCCCTCACCTTTCTTAACATCAAAAAAACCTGTTCGCCTCTCTCCGGGAAACCCCCCCTTTTTTTTTTTTCCCAAGTGCAATGGAAGTGTTTTAACCTTCCTTGCATTGTATCATTAAACAAAACAACTGTTTTTGAAAACCGAAACAGAAATTGGTAGCAAAAAAATAAGCATAATTTACGTAAGCTCTTTTATCTTCCCATGAAAATTTTGAAACAAAGCGAGAATTTTCCGGGTTATTGACCCCACAAAGACGGGTTTAATTTTTAATGAACGGTTCCTGACACATCAACCCTTTATGATGTACGTGTATATATATATAATATAATATAAAATATATTTATATATATATATATAATTTATATATAATATATAATATTTATATATTTATATTTATATATATATATTATATATATTAATTTTTACCGATATGGGCTTCATTTGCATGATACCACGGTTTAAAGGGACTTTCTCATAAAAGTAAAACAGAAATGAAGGCTTGCATGTTTGGATCTTAGTACAAAAATAGCAATGACAGAGTGGCATTAACTGTGAAACTTGTGGTGGATAAATAATGTTTCAAGTAGCAGTGCTGTTTTCACCTTCCTAGTATGACACCGCTGATCGAGGAATTTTTTGTTGCTGATGTCTTAATACAACGATATGAATATTCAGTACTAACACTACAATAACACCTGATAATGAAGTTTCGTAATGATTTGTCAATAAATGTTTCAAGTAGCAGTGCTGTTTTGACCTTCTTTATATATGTATATGTATACGTACACACACAGTGGATCCATAAACAGCTTTAAGAAGAGGTATGAAAAGGCTCCTGGAACGGGAGGAGTGACCTAGTAGCAACTAGCAAAGAGGCGGAGCCAGGAGCTATGACTCGACCTCTGCATATATATACCTGGAGTTTACCTGGAGAGAGTTCCGGGGGTCAACGCCCCCGCGGCCCGGTCTGTTATATATATATATTAATATATATATATATATATATATATATATATTATATATATATATATATATATATATATATATACAGTGGTCCCTCGTTTTTCGTAATTAATCTGTTCCTGGAGGAGCTACTATATATATATATATATAATATATATATATATATATATATATATATATATAATATATATATATATATATATATATATATATATATATAATCATCATCAATGAAAAAACTTGTATCAACAGATGTAACTTTTCAAAGACTAGAGGGGTTCAAACAAAGGGGAATAATTTACAAACCTCACGTTCTACCGACCATGTTAATAGTAACTTTAATAAGGGCTCACATTCGTCATTGGACTGGGAAATATTTGCTGAGCAGCAATCATCTGTTCTCTTTAGGGAGACCTTCCGTCCCCATTAATATGGTCAACAGAACTGCTACTTTGTAAATTCTTGCCCCCAGCCAGGTTCTGTCTCCTGAAATCCATGAATTACAATTGTTTATTACAGTTTTAAGGTTATTGTGAATTATTATGTGAGCAAATTACCTGCATGAGGTTTACAGGGTATTATCTGAATTATTACAGGCAAGTAATTTGGGTGAGTAGGTCGCAGGACTGTCACTCCCTCGATGCCCACGTCATCACCACTCTCACAAAAGCTAGACCTGACATTAAATTAATAATTACAAAGTTAAACATTACTACCAATAATGGTAAATTATACAATAATATGGACTGTATATGATTAGGCTTGCTGGGTACACATTATAAATATTGAATATAAATTACAAGTGTTGTTAGAAAGGACGTTCGTATTACCGCTTACCATTTAATTACTGGATCATAATTATTTTTTGGAGATGCACTCTAACGCTTCGTCTACAGCTAGGATTTACGGTAGCTAATGCAAAAACTACTGTACTTTATGGGTAAGAGTCGCTTAGCTAAGGTGTGTTGCTGAGAAGGATTGGAGTCCTCTATTTTTCCGTCCTTGTTGCCGAATTGTAAGGATTTTTCACACTATCCCAATTCTTCAGCAGGAACGTGTCAGCAATTTCTAAATTACGAATTGAGGCCGATATACACCAACTGACCTTCGAGAACACCTGATTACATTGCACAATTCAATCCAGTGATCACACATTAAATTCAATATGGCGTCTCCCTCTGCGGCGTCACTTTCCCGGCTGTTTTGCCTTCCCCTCACTCGAAATTTCTCGAAGGGTCCAATTAGCATCGCATTTTAATACGCAGTTATTATATCATTCATTTATATGTTCTACAGTTAGGAAATTATGCAAAAACTTTCCATATTTACATTAACAAATGGGGTGAAGAGCTACATTGTAGCTTTGCTGTCGGAAAGGAAGATCTCTGAAAGGACTTGAAGTTTAGAGTCGCAGTTGCTGACTGATGCTAATATTTTTCAGTCCAGTATGTGAAGAGTCCGATCCCTTATTTAAGTTCCCATTAGTAAGGTTATTAGAGTAAGTAAGTTTTTTTTTTAGATTATACAAATATATATTTATATATTTTTTTTACAATTATTACATCGGAAATTATCGGTATATGATTAGTACTATAAACTTTGTACTTTGAGGTTTCGATTATATTACCTTCAGAAAATAGCGAGCATGATGAGTTCACAATAATTATGTCTGGCTTATGAGATACGTATTCTAATGCTGAGTGGACTTAGCAGACAGAGGCTTTCAGAAAGTTTAAGTAATATTATTCGAAAATATATTGTCCACGTGTGCGAGGAAACTTGGGAGGTTTATTTGTGTGTGTTCCTTGGGGGTGTGCCTGGATGCAGGGGAAGAGCTCTTGATCTGTAGAATTGAAGCAACCATTCCCTTTCTCGGATCAAACCAGATTACTTCCCATTCCCCAGGCACTGTATGACCTCTATGGGTTTAATGCTTCCCCATTAATACAATATATAATAAGGTTGTATGCCCGTTTACGTTAGCCCTAGTTAGGTTTCGAGTTACCTAGATGTATTTTATTCTTAGCTAGACTTTAGCAACATACAATACGCTGAAGTTTTCTCAAATATTAGGCGTTTTAGGTCTATGTACATAGGCTATAAGTTAGTGCTCACTATATGTAAAACATTAACAATACTTACATTTTCATGGAAAGCAGAGAAACACACACATGATCACTTATCATTGCACTTCTAGCAATGTACTAATCTAAATATTGCTACAGGCAAAACTTAACATTTCATAATTCATAAATCTCATTGATTTTGTTAAATTAATTGAAGGTAATACAACTCATTTAATTTCTGTTCTAATTATAATTTTTTCCCGCAGCGTTACCTAGTGCATATCTTTGTCTCTATCTATTATCATCATAATGAAAACACTTCAAGATAAAGAAGTATTGTCGACTGAAAGCGAAGAAAAAAGATAAATTTTGCCTATAAGTGTGTTTAGATAACTACTACTGTTATTGTTTGTTGCTATTGTTTGTTGTTAATATTTGTTGATGCTGTGTTGTTACTGCTGTTTGTTGCTGTGTTGTTTGTTACTGCTGTTTGTTGCTGTTGTGTTGTTTGTTACTGCTGTTTGTTGCTGTTGTTTGTTACTGCTGTGTTGTTACTGTTGTTTGTTGCTGTTGTTTGTTACTGCTGTTTGTTGCTGTTTGTTACTGCTGTTTGTTGCTGTTGTGTTGTTACTGCTGTTTGTTGCTGTTGTGTTTGTTACTGCTGTTTGTTGCTGTTGTGTTACTGCTGTTTGTTGCTGTTGTTTGTTACTACTGTTTGTTGCTGTTGTGTTGTTACTGCTGTTACTGCTGTTTGTTGCTGTTTGTTTGTTTTCTGCTGTTTTGTTGCTGTTGTGTTGTTACTGCTGTTTGTTGCTGTTGTTTGTTACTGCTGTTGTTTGTTACTGCTGTTTTGCTGTTGTTGTTACTGTTGTTTGTTGCTGTTGTGTTGTTACTGCTGTTTGTTGCTGTTGTTGTTACTGCTGTTTGTTGCTGTTGTGTTATTGCTGTTTGTTGCTGTTGTGTTGTTACTCTGCTGTTTGTTGCTGTTGTGTTGTTACTGCTGTTTGTTGCTGTTGTTTGTTACTGCTGTTTGTTGCTGTTGTGTTGTTACTGCTGTTTGTTGCTGTTGTTTGTTACTGCTGTGTTACTGCTGTTTGTTGCTGTTGTTTGTTACTGCTGTTTGTTGCTGTTGTTTGTTACTGCTGTTTGTTGCTGTTGTTTTTTTCTGCTGTTTGTTGCTGTTGTTACTGCTGTTTGTTGCTGTTTTGTTGTTTGTTACTGCTGTTTGTTGCTGTTGTTTGTTACTGCTGTTTGTTGTGTTGTTACTGCTGTTTGTTGCTGTGGTTTGTTACTGCTGTTTGTTGCTGTTGTGTTGCTTGTTTCTGCTGTTTGTTGCTGTTGTGTTGTTACTGCTGTTTGTTGCTGTTGTTTGTTACTGCTGTTTGTTGCTGTTGTGTTTGTTACTGCTGTTTGTTTGCTGTTGTGTTTGTTACTGCTGTTTGTTGTTGTTGTTTTGTTACTGCTGTTTGTTGCTTTTGTGTTGTTTGTTTCTGCTGTTTGTTGCTGTTTGTGTTGTTTGTTACTGCTGTTTGTTGCTGTTGTGTTGTTTTGCTTCTGCTGTTTGTTGCTGTTGTGTTGTGTTTCTGCTGTTTGTTGCTGTTTGTTGTTGTTTGTTTTCTGCTGTTTGTTGCTGTGTTTGTTGTTGTTTGTT